GCTATTACTAGGGAAACTAAGAGAGCGACCTTGGCAAAAGAAGTTGGAGTTCAATGGAAACCACCGCAGAGTGGGTGGTTCAAGCTCAATATTGATGGCTCCTCCGTAAGTAATCGTGGAAAAGTTGGTGCTGGAACCATACTACATGATCACGAGGGCCGCTGGCTGGTGGGCACATCGAGATAAATACCCAAGTGGAGCTATGGGCGGTTAGAGATGGACTCAAACTCGCTCTAGAGGCGGAAGTGACAAAACTAGAGATCGAACTTGATGCTTCAGCTGTTATCTAAATGATAAAGAACTCCAGTAACGTGAATTATCTCCTAAACACTCTTGTTTGTGATTGAAGGACGATGTTGAGGAGTTTTCAATAAACAAAGATGAAGCATTTTTTTCGTGAGGCAAACCGCTATGCCAATGCCTTGGCCAAATGGGAATGTGAAGCAAAAGGACAACTCTCTTGCTCAACTGGCTGTAACCTTTAATTTGAAACTATCTCCTACTTTTTTAATCCCTTTGTTATTAGCTGATGCTGAAGGGGTTCTGATGTATTGTGGTCTAAGTTAATTTAAGTTCTATGCATGCTTTTTCGACCAAAAAAGGCAAGATTGTGGTTTTGGGACATTGTCATGTGGCTTAAAGTTCTGAAGAAAGAATGCACGTTTTACGGTCACATGTTCACACATTAACTACAGCATGTAGATTGTAGATGATCATGCCTTGTTAATGAACTAAGCAATCCTTTTTTTTTTAAAGACTAGATGCACGTCAGAGAAAATCAAGAAGATTCTATAAAGTTGCCTGGATATTGCTTAATTTACAAGCCTGGATTTTTGCTTAGAGTCGGAAACCCATAAATCTATTATAAAAAGAATGAGGTAATGGATATATTGACTAGCAATTTATGATTGCTAAAACTTCCGAACCTCTGCAGGTTTTGTCATTAGCAAAAATATTTTGGATAATATCAAGAGGGATTCTTGAATTATAATGTAATATTTAAATTTTAAAAATTTTTAATAAAATATTTAAATTATAAAATTAATAATTAATATAATTAATATATTAATTATATATCCATCACGTGTGATAATTTAAAACTAATTATGTATGAGGCAAGTATAATATTAATTAATAATTTTATAATTTAGATATTATATTTTTAAAATTTAATTATCACATTAAATATTTTATTATAATTTAAAAATTATTAGTAAAGTTAACCCAAAATATTTCACAAGTTAGGTGGCATGGTTGCCAATTTTCAAAAGCTATTGTGCTTCAACGATTTATCCATATTGATAATCGTTCAATGAGTTGCCAGATTGCGAAAGATATAGTTCTAAATTTAGTATAATATTGAAAATAATCACAAAGGTAGGGCAACATTGACACAATGTTTTCCTCAATCCCATATGATAAAAAAGAAAATAGAAAATAGAAATTGATTGGTACAGGTGCATTTGTGTTTCTTTTTGGCACGATGTAAAGAATATAAGGAAGAAATGCCTATCAACAAAAACTTTTTGATGGCCATGTGAAAATTAGGCAATGAATCTCTTCAACTTTGGTTGTGGCCTCCAAAGGGGAGAAAAGGAATAAGACTGGGCCACTATTGCCCACAGAAAGTGACCATAAGGTCCTTCTTTGGAGTTACTGCATGACTTACTATTGCTAAGTTGAGTTCATAAATTAATTGAAAGATGAAAGTGAAATTGACATGAATAAAATAAGCAAGCAACACATAAATTTGAAAAAGAATAGACAAAGTCTGTTTCTCATTTGATTCTTTTACTAAAAATAAAAAGGTATTTACTCTGTATTTATGAGTTACCTATTTCATAAATTAAGGTTTTTTTTTTTAATTTAAAGTTTTTAAGTTTTTTCAACATATTTTTCTTTAGAACTAATTCAAATAAATTTTTTTGAATTAAGTAGAGGAATGTGTCATTATCAATAGGCAACTTAATTTTCTAAAATTAACTTGAAAATTAGTATTAATTTGGTTTAATTTTCTACAATTTTTTTAACATTTAGACTGCTGGAAGAGAGTGAAATTATTCTAGAAAACAATCAAATTGCACTTCTGGTTCATTTGGGTATGCATCAGCAGGGCAGGGACCAAGTTAAATTGGAAAAAAAGAAAAAAAAAGAGCATTCTTAAAGAAAAGCAAAAGAAAATGGGGTGCTTTTTATTTTTTATTTTTATTTTAAAATAAGAAAGTAGTATAAGTGGGTTTGAGTTGTTGGATCGTGCATGCACTGCTATGTGTCTCCTCCATTGCATAAAAACCAAAAAAATATTTGGGAAATGGAATCATAATGCAGATTATGACCCACCACCACCACTCTTGCTACAATCACAGAAAAGTTATCCTCTCGCTGCCCAATCGCCCACCCAACTATTTACACACACAATCCATATTTATCCTTCATCAATCTGTGTTTCTCACTTGCTCTACGGCCACTTTCATTCTACCTCCTCCAATAGATTTCTTTTTTTTTTTTTTTTGGTGCGGAATAATCTAGAAGGAAAGTAGATTGCTTTAGTTACCCATAGGTGTTTGGAAGTCATATTTGATTGGATGAATATTTGAATTTGATTTGTTTGTTATTTAATGAATTTAAATTTAAATTCCAATTAATTAAAATTATTTTAATGTTTAACTCGAAAGATTTATGAAGCTAATCAAATATAAGTCACATGTATCTAAACTTATTCTCTTTCACTTGTATCCAATGTGATCTTTTTTTACATTAGGATATGCCATAATATGGGTATTAACTTTATGTGCAATATTCTATTAAATAAATGATGTTGCATATTCATATCAATGCTAAAATATTTTATATAATAATTTTTTACTAAAATAAAAATTATCTATTTTCTTGGATTCCTAATTCCTAGGAAATTCTGTAAAATCTATATATATATATATATATTATATATGTGTACGTATATTTATGTGTTTTTATAATTAAATATAAATTTTTAAAATATCTTCCAAGTGGTAAGAGATGCATTAAGTTGAAGGATTATGGATTTATAATACAAAAAGCATTCATAAATGAATTTATAGTATACTTCAATTAGTTTCAAATTTTATGCAAGTTTAAGAAGAAAAAATTGTGTGATCTATTTATAAAAATTGACAATTGAAGTTTCCTAAGATTAACATTTTTCTATATATAATTTGATTGAGATGTGTAATCTTTTTTTTTTTTTTTTGATAATTTTAAGGACATACTCTTTCATATCAATCTCGTATATTCAAGATTTTACTTTTGAATCTTCGTAAGAATTAAACACAAAAACTAATATCTTTATTGAATTGCCCACAAATTTTCAATGGTATATTAATTTATGATATTTTTATTTGAAATTAAGATGAAATTTACTACTATATTATGAATAATATTGAATTTTACAACTCTATTTTAATTTTATAAAATTTTATCATATACCTTTAATTTCATTATTTTTTAGAAAAATAATGAAATTGAGATATTTTATTAAATATCTATTAATGCAAATGATAAATTTTATCACTGTACTTTAAATTCTATTATTTTGTATAAAAAATCAACAAAATTAAAAGTACAATGGTAATTCAACGAAATTAAAGCATAGTGATTTAATATTGGTTAATAGTAAAATGATAAATTTAATGATGACGCCCTAAGCCATGCACTACACTTTTTTTTCTCCAGTTTTTTCCTCTCTCGTTTGTGGTGTTTCTTCGCATTCATCCTCTATATGCCCTAGTTTGCCACATGAATAAGAGTAGCTTAGCAATCTTTCATAACTCAGTCTTCCCTAAACCTGGTTTAAGCTCCCTTCCATGGCTATCAGGACAGCCCTTAGTAACGGCTTAGTAATATCTATTTCTACTCCGAGCCTTAGAAATCTCAACCCCGCATCAATCTCTTTTAACTCTCCGATCTTCATTCTGATTCTCGTAGCATTTTCATGATTTGTCATCCCCAATGGCAAACCATTAACCCTGATCAGAATAGTGCGGTATCGAAATGATAATCCGCCGATCTTAGTTTCCCATAGTACCCCTTGAAGAGTATTAATTGCTTATCAAAAGACCACGGCACACCCTCCAACGCCCTCCTTCTGTCCATCATCGAAGCAAACTTGAATAGGAACCTAGTACCTTCTAGATCTACTATCTCAGCTTGCTTGGCCAACCGCCATAAGATTCATAATGTCCCTTTCATCACTTCTTTATTGTAGGGCCTCTTGGTAAGCAGCGTTCCTACCGGCCATGCTTTCCTTTTGTCTGTGCCATCCCCATTTCCCCCTGTAATTTTCACCACTTGGTCCTTCTCCTCCTGTGTTAGTTTTAGGTTTTTCCACAACGATTCCATCACAGCATCCATTTCCGTTCCAAAATACTAGTCCTTATCTATACTATAACTGACTAAAAACTGGAAACTTCGGTTCTTAGAGATGTGCCAAAACCTAGCCGCCCTGAGATAAATTCACTTGCACTCAAACAAGACTCCTATCCTCGCATAGAAAAACCTTTGAGAGACTATTAGGACTAGTGTATATTTAATCAAAAGATATACTATTTTATTATCTACTTGAAAATTTTAACAGAAGGCACTGCTGCACGCGCTAATTGGGAGAGTGGTACAATGATTATGAAGTTTGAAAGAACCGCGATTATGTTCGAAGCATGGTATTAGATTTTACCGTGGTCTTAGCCAGAAATAAATACAGTGTTCACTGTTTGCAGTAAACGAGGAAATTATGGTAAATTTATTAAATTAAAAAATTATTTTGTACTCAAATATTACATATATTTTTATTTATTTATTTTATATCAAATACATATAAAATATAAAAATTATTATATTTTCTTTTGTATCGCCCATATATAAATTTTGTTAAAATTTTATATCCTGCTATTTTCTCTTTTTTTTTTCCGTAAAAATTACCAAAAGTGAACAGCTAACGCATGTCATTGGTCTAAAAGTCTACGATAACACCGACTTCAATATGTCTGAGCTGTAATCACAGACACGAGAATTTTGAATAAGAAAAAACAGACAGATTAAAGCAGAGAGCATCTCCTCTTTGATGCTGGCTTCACATCAACAAAGTTACTGAATTTTGCTGCGAAATTAAGTTTTGGTTGGTGTGGGATTGAAAGGAAAGATCTGAAAAAGCATGGCAACCTTCGGAGGGACTACCCAGAAGTGTAAGGCATGTGAAAAAACTGTTTACTTGGTTGATCAACTCACTGCTGACAACAAAGTTTATCACAAAGCTTGCTTCAGGTGCCACCATTGCAAGGGTACCCTTAAGGTAATTCCTTCTTTTTTTACATTTAATTTTGATCATTTTTGTTGTTTCTTTGTGTGGTTAATTATGACTTTTGTATCTGGGGTTTGGCCTTTGAAAATTTTACTAGGATTACTTCTTTGGTTGCTTACAGGGCTCAAGTTTTTATTGAATCCTTTGTGTTTTTATTGATTAATGAATCTTCAGTTATGAATGTTGATCCAAGTTCTTCTTGGTATCAGAGGATTTTTCATGATCTTTTAGTTTCATGCCTAGTTGATCAAAAGCTGCCTTCAAACTTGTAAATTTTGGTTTGAGATCTGATCATTTTCAAAGAGTTGAGGACTGCTATTATGTTGCTTCATTGCTCTACAGAGTAGCTTATCTGTTTTTTTCTGATATTGCAATGACTTTTTTTAAAGGAAAGCTTATCAAAATTTAGCAGCAAACTGGGGTTATATAGGATTTGCCATACATTAATTCCCTTGAGCCATTTGGAATTCAGAAGGGAAACTGCTATAACAAATAAAGGCTAAAGATGCTGAGAAATCATAAAGCAATATAGCCAAACCCCAAGAATCACATAATCACCTGTTTTTAGTAGTAACAAGAAGGTTCCCAAGACTTAAAATTCTAAGTCTTGGGAATAATGGCGGGCAAAAAAAAAGTTTCTTCATGTATCTTCTTAGAAAATTGAGATTTTCCACCTCTATAGTTGGGATATAAGCTTAGGAACCTAATTTCAGTAGCATTGCAGGAAAATTTCTTCCTTTTAGTTTGAGTAAAATCCCTATGAAGCTGATAATTCGAATCTCCATTACGCCTTGAGATCAAGCTTTTGAAAGAGCAGCCCTTCAATTTATTTGGTGTAAAAAGTAAGTGCAAAAGTGAAAAGAAAGAAAAATATAAAATTCTTGGCGGAATCACAAAGAATAGTGATTAAATTGTTCCAAAAACATTGAAGCATGCTTGAGGTAAAAAAAGATTAATACCCTTTTTCATGATTGTGGACTAACTGCAAACAACAGGAAAAAGGCTTCCAATTCTGCAAATTGATTTCTTGATTATGGGCTTTTAACTTGTTCATTCAAGAACCCTGTGTGTTTGGATTAGAAAGCTTTACTTGTGGCCGTATTATCCCCTAAAATGGGTGGTGACATTGCAAATGATGGCCAGAAAAAACTATTCAAGATTGTGAAATCTGAAGATGAGCATATTTATTAGCGCTCCAATGTTTATATTATAATCTTTGTTGTCTTTCTTGCGCAGAGGTCTATTTTATGCCTTCAGAGCTTTCTGTTAGAATATATTATTGGTATAAACATATAGTTTCCTTGGAGATTCTCAAGCCTTCGCTTGGTGTTGCAGTATTTAAAACAAAGAAGATATATGCTATCTTTTCTTTAGTTTAATGCCTTTGTTCTTGTGTTCTATTAATTGTTTGCTCTACATGCTTGCAGCTAAGTAACTATAGCTCCTTCGAGGGTGTGTTGTATTGCAAGCCTCACTTTGATCAATTGTTTAAGATGACTGGTAGCTTGGATAAAAGTTTTGAAGGTGCTTACTTCCTAGAGTTGCTTTTAGCCTTATTTACTTTCCTGTTATTTCTGCTTCAAAAGCCAAATTGATAGGTTATTTTGTTTACTTTCTCTTTTTCAGGAACCCCAAAAACTGTTAGGGTAGACCGATCTGCAGACCAGGTACCTCGCCATCTTATCTTTAGCTCTTAAATCATACTACCATACTTGATCATTGAGGTCTGTTATACATAAGTTATTACATATTGTGAGCGGAACTCTGCAGGTCACCAACAGCAAAGTTTCAAGCCTGTTTGCTGGAACTCAAGAAAAATGCGTGGCTTGCAAGAAAACTGTTTACCCTATTGAAAAGGTATTCATAGCAATTGCATATCATTAATTGCATAACTTGTCGGAAAAATAGATAATTTCTTCTCATCAGTGTTGAAGAAACAAAGAAATTCTGCAAACCATTTTAAGAAAAAAATTAACTCAAAAAAAGGAGAAAAATTGTTGTTCTCTTAATTAATTTACTTCTTTGCTCTGAAAAGTTAATATTTCTTAGAAAGAAGCCATTTATACTTGTTATTTACTTGATGAATTGTATTTTCTGTTTTCTCTGTTGTCAAGAACAAAAAATGTTTTTCATATTTTAATATGCTATATCACCAAATGCAGCCTAAAGTTGCAATCAGTGCTGATAAAAACTTTTTCAATATTTTCATAGAAATGCCTCTAAATTTTATTACCAGATATAATAAGATTTAATTTGTAGATATACATTCCTCTTGATTGTCACCATACTGTTTCTACAATAACAGATAACTGTGCATATAAAGCCTCTACGCATAAACTCTGCTGTGCATTCTGTAAATTATTTGATATTCGACTGTGCTGGTTGTTTTAACCCCAAGTTTCTTCTGTTCTCAGGTTGCAGTTGATGGCACTTCCTATCATAAGGCTTGTTTCAGGTGCACCTATGGAGGCTGTGTGATCAGCCCATCAAACTATGTAGCCCATGAACATCGTCCATATTGTAGGCATCACCACAACCAACTGTTCAAAGAGAAGGGGAACTTCAGCCAACTTGACAAGCATGAAGAAGTCAAGGGGGTGAGTGAGAACACTGTGGCCTAGGAATCCTGTTTCCAAGCGTGAACCAGTTTCAACTTTTGAAGCATAGAAGAGCTGTTTTTGGGTTTATTTCTATATAGAATGTTACATATTATGTCATTTGTCACCGGGGAGAAATATTCAGCAGAAGAGTTTGAGTTTTTTGATAAAGCTTTTCGTGTGAGCTTTGAATTGATATATTAAATAGAAAGTTGGTGTTCAGTCATTTTCAATAAACTATGTTGATATATCCCGAGACATATCCTGTTAGATCTTTGATTTGAAGGGCCTAATTCTTTAATAGCTGTCATTTTGGTGATCCATGGTGCTTTTCTTTTCTAGCAATGTTGATGCATTATACAGCATCAAAGATTATCAGTCATATAAAACTTCAGTAATCCCCTAGGCTGGGAATTCACAAGCATGGTTTGAATCATTGATGCATTTCACCTGCAGAGGAGTTTGTTTTATGGTGAATGTCTTTTTGTTTTATAGCAATTCCCAATGGAAGCATAAACTAGTCGTTTTCTGAGGCAAACATGACGACAACCCTGACTTGGATTAAATGGTTCTTTTGCTTATGTACGTTTGAATGAGTAGTTAGATTGATTCAACTGAAATTGAAAACAGCGGTGACATTGGCCTGTAAGTGGCCAGTCAAGTCCAATATCGTGCACCATCTTAATTCGTAAGCCCAAATTTGAGAAATGGCTTTTTGGCATTTTCCCTACTGATCAACCACCTATCCAGCCAATCCCAAAACCTAATCAACTGAACCTGGTGTAGCCATCAACCTTCAAAACTCTTCCAACAGAAAAAAAAAATTCAAGTCTCTTTTATGACTAAATCAATCTCTTTTTATGCTTTTGCTTCAGCAACCCCACTGCCAATAGCCTTACCACTGCAATAATCTTATTTGATTCTTTCATCCACTGGCCTATGGAACTACTTTGAGTAAATTGAAAATTTTGCAAGAATATGTTTGTTGTTTCATCCAAATGACTCTTTGAGGAAAAGTGTGATCCTAGATTATAATGTATGTGATATTGACTGCACATTCCAACAAATCCTATTTAGAGGCGGATTCAAAGCATGAAGTTAGATCTGATAATTTCAAATATAATACGGTGATACAACATAAAAATAATACGAAAAAAATCATATTTATATTTTAAAAAAATGTATTTCGTTTTTATTCATGTCAAAACAAATTTTAACACAACACAATTCGTGTCGTATATGTGTTGATTTGTCTAAACATGTGATACAACATAAATAACACATTTAATTTAATCTTGTCATATGAGTACCCGTTTAATATGTTTAACACATTTAACATTTTTTTATATTTATTTTAAATTAATATAAACATGTAAAGATTATTTTAATTTTTAATCTTTTAATTAGGATACTTAATTAGCTATTTAATATCATATAAAAATTATTTTAAACATTTAATTAAGATACTTATTTAATAATTATTATAAAATTATTTTTTTATATTAATACTATAAATACAATATAAATATTAATATTAATATTAATCCAATACATTATTATTTTATTCTTTAATTTTTAATAGTTTATTATTTTGAGTTTGATACTAAAAATTAATATAGCTATGTAATATAAATTAAAATTTAAATAAATATATATATTAAATACATATTAAATGAGTATTAAATTTTTTTAATATGCAAGTACTTTTTTATATTATCAATATGCTAAATTTATTAAGTTGTAAATAATGGATAGTTTATACTTATTTATTATTTTAGTCGTGTTCTTGTATATATTTTGTTAATCGTATCTATTGATGTATATCTGTATTACTTGAGTCTGTTCGTGTATATTCGTATTATTCGTATTTATTCGTATCGTATTTAAACAAATTAATTATACGCATATTAATCATGTCGTGTCGCATGTAATATGTATACTAAATATGTTGAGTTCATGTTTAAGATTTAAACATATTTTGTAATTTATATCGTATTTGTATTTTAATAATTCGTATCATTATATATGTCAAACACGATACAAAACATAATACAAAAGCACGTATTACCAGATTTACATGAAGTAGACACCTTCAAAAATTAAAAAATAAAAAAATTTGAAAGAAAAATTTTCTTTTGACATTCTCAAAATTTTTCCCTACGCACTTTTTCAATGGACAAAATTGATAAATTCGTTTATATTTTTATATATTTTAGAAATGGATACCTCCGAAAATAATTCTAAACCTGCCATTGAACTTTTTGTTAGTGTTTTATTCTCTAGTCATCTTGGAGATTAGATGAAGAAAATTAGTTTTAGGTAGACATGGTTACTAATGGATTTTGCAGAGTTACTTCATACATGCATGCAAAAATGTGGGAGGAATGAGGATAGATATTTTGACAAACACGGTTTTTAGTCAAATGACCAAAAGCAAAAAGGGGTAGTCTCAGTTTTACAAGTATGGTTAATTCATGGGATTGGCTTGGTTGTATCAAATTTTATTCTTCCCTAGATAAACTAGTGTGTGTTGCTCAAGTGCGTAAATGAAGGGATGAATCCAAGGATAAATCAATCAAACCCTGCTTGCATTTGATCCGAACTCATGGTCAACGATGTTATTTACGAGTTTTTCAAAAATTATACGAATAATTTGTTAACAGATTTGATTCATATTTATTTATTAAATTTTATAAATGATCACAAACAAATTACAAAACGATAATTTAAAATTTATTATTAAACGAACCAATCATAAACTAAACAAAATTCATTAATATTTTATTTATTTACACTCCATAGACCAAAAGTCTAACTAGGCGAAGACTAGGAAGGTAGGTTCCCAAGTCAAGTTGGTTTATTTTTTCAATAATAAATGCTGCGTGATTATTCTCATTCAACCATGAAGGCCGTTTCCAAATTCTATGGTCAAGAGTAGGAGTTGGAGACTTGATAATACGCTTTAAATGAAGGGACCGGTTCTGTATGCAAAGATTATTGTTGTTGATCCATTGTTTTCACAGTTTTCAGCTGCAGAGGAATGTTTCATGTGAATAGAGAGGAGAATAAAGAAACGGCCAGTGGTTTAGCAAAGTGATTAGTGAATAAGTAGAGCCCCAAGCAATGATTCCAATAGAAAAATATCCAAAAACGTGTGATGATTGCTGAACCCTGAGGACAATTCTTCAGTCTATGGTAGAGAAGAGATGATTCGTTGACACACTTTTAAAGAGGGAAGCTTGCTACAGCAATAAATAATTGGTAGGTATCCATTATTTCATACTTTCAATGTACGCAATGCAACTGGCATGACACTACATTTCAGTCAATGTGATCATCTCTCGAGATTTGCTGGGAAAGTTCAGCCTGCTTCCCCTGATGGCAATGAAATCATTTTAATAAAAGTCTTGTGCAATAAAGAACGGGGATGTCGCTGTTGAAATTTGAGCAAACCCCATTAATAGGAACCATTCATTCGCTGCCCTGGTTTAGAAGGTGTTATTCTCAAGCATTAATTAGGAGGTTCACCTTGTGACAGGATTTTATGACACCTCAGGCTCAATCAATCAGTTACACACAAAAGCTAACTACCCCAAAAATGAAAAATATTGTTAAAGTGGTGTTATCTCCCTTAAATATTAGATTTTGATGGTTTTATATTAAGTTTTAACCTAGTTTTTCATGCTTTACAAAGAACGTTCTGACTCTGAAGTTGGTTGCAGTTGTCTCCCTCAACGTTTAGTGTGTGAAGTGGAGCAATAATTTTATTGTTAACTTGTTAAAGAAAAGATCAAAGGCATCTTTTGCTTTTAGAAGCTTTGGTCGGTCGGTCTTGCTCTTGAGTTTGGCAAGGGATCGATTATGTGGGGAGAAATAATGGTTTTGATATTTGGAAAGATTCCTCTTCCTTTAATGGGCTGGAAATTATTAGTATGATGGCTGTTTCAAAGTCAAAAATGTACATGCCTTATGATTAATGCTAGTCTTGTAACATGTCCCACCATCTATTCCTTCGTAATCTTGAGATTAATGCTGATAATCTTACCAATTATTATTATCAATGACATCCAAAATTTTATCCATCAAAAAATATATTCATGAAAAAAATTTTGGGATGTTAAGAGAAATTTTTTTTAAAATTTTTTTTGTTTTTAATTTGACGCCTCTACAAAAAAATTTTGAGAAAATCCAAAAAGAAATTCTTTTAAATTTCTTTATTTTTCAAATTTTGGGATGTATAAACACCCCACCTCAAAGGAAACATCCGCGCTTACTGATTATCAAGTCCTTGTGCGAAAGTCACATTACAAGTATAGCTCCTTGGACTTTATATGGATGTTCGTTGGTTCTTCACATTGTAATTCATGTATCTTGTTTATTTATTTAGTGTCCAATAATATAAAACATAAATTTTCGTGTCATAATTTATATTAATATATCAAATATAAATTTTTTTTTATTTTTGTCAATTATATATTTAATTTTTGCTAAAATTTTAAATTCGTCATTTTCATATATTTTTCATATTATGTTATCATATTATATTTTATAAGAGTGATGTACCTACTTGAATTTCCATCATAGGAAAATCAATGGCCTAAATTTTGATCTCTTGACATTTTCGACTGGTTCCCAACTAGAAGTTAAGCTGTTCAAGGTGTCAATGACATTATCATCTCGTATCTGTACTTGCTTATCTCTTCACCAATTGGTTAGTTATGGCTTTTATGGACCATATAAGAGCAAAGTTAAAATGGTCCTTCAAAGCAATTATTACAACCTCGATTCCTTGTATTTTAGTAGCCTAGTTGTTATTGGCTTGAAAACAGTAGTTTTGCACCACACCAGAATTGATATCTGGCCTACAGCGATCAGCCATGACAGTATTAGCGAATAATACACAGATTTCATTACATAACAGTGCTGGATTACAACTCTCTGCTTTGATGTACAATTATGCATTGCTCAGATCTGCAACATGAAGAAAGTTGTGGTTTTCTTGGATTGCTACCTGCTTCCTAAAGTGAGAATCTGTATTGCTTTTTACAGGTTAAAAAAGAAGCCTGGATTTCTGTGTGGCTAGAGCCAAGTGGTGTTCCTTTCTGTCTCTTATGCAGCATGTGGCAAAAATGTGAAACATCCTTAGCTTGCAGCCTCTGAGATGCTTTGTAATGAAGGCTGCCATGTCTTTGATCTGGCAGCAGAGTTGCTTGATTTTGTTGATCTTTGTCGGTGCCTTTCATGTTTGCTCAACTGGAGATGTTTAATATCATCAGAAAAAAAGGAAACTCAAACATTTCTTACTATCATATGTCTCATCAGTCAATATTTATCTTTAAATCTTCAAGCAGTTTGATGTTCTTAAAAGAAATTGTTTTCAAAATTGTTCTTTTCTGGATCCTAAATGCAGCGCCAATGCAATTTTATTCTAAAATTTATGTTGAAAATAAAGCTTTCAATTATGACTACATGCATATAAAAATTAATTCTAATGATTATAAACAGCAAAAATAACAAAAAATTATAAAGAAAAACTAAAAATATATAGCTGTTTAAGGGAAATTCACCTTATTTTCCTTATCTGGTTCAGATCTTCTTGCCACTGTCTGTGGCCTCAGACCTGCCTTATCATTTGGCTTCTCAGCTGATTCTTGCTGGTTTCTCTTCATCTTTGCATGTTTCTTTGCATACAACCCTTTCATAACCTCTAAAAACCAAAAATTAAGCAAGCAAACGCATAGTCCAAATCAGAGTACAATCCCAAAGAAAACAGTCTTTATTACCAATACATAGTAATTAAAACAAAGAGCAAAAAGCAACCCGAAAATATACAAATATAAATATACCTTGAGTAGTGATGAGCCTGTAAACCTGGCCAAGAACAAGAGTATCCGTCGGCCGGAGAAGCTTAATCCTGGTTAAACGAACAGGGTTGACATTATTGTTGGTGCTGTTGTTTGGAAATTTATCGTTGTTACTTGAATGATACAAGGTGGTAGAGATCAGAAGAGCAACATAGTGACCGGGGTTCATCCTCATAACCTCACTAGCACTCACAGGCCAATAAAACTTGTCAACTTTCCCGCATGGGTGCTGAACTACCAGAGTTGCTGCATCAATAGCTTGGCAATTCCCCATTTTTTTCAGTTTTCAAAGCAAGCAGACGAGGCAGGCAAGTAAAGCAAGAAAAGAAAGCTATTAGGAAGAGAGGAGAAATAAGCTGCAGTGTCTTTATAGCCAACCACACCCACCAACTGTTGAGTCAATTAGAGTGGGAATAAAGTAGTGACTTTGGCCCTAAGATGCAATGATTTGGTGAGCTGTGACTGGTTGTCTAAGGGACAAGGAGAAGCATGGCCAGAGATGATATTTTTGGAACCCCTAGGCTTAGTCTTGAGAGATATACGTTACTAAAGCCTTAAGGTCTATAACAGGTCCACCATTGTTGAACAGCACTGTTCCATAGAGGCTCTAATATTGCCACGTTAACTAAGTTTATCCAACAACTCATCTTGGAATGGACGTACGGTTATCTATGGGTATGTGGACTGCCTTTCTCTCGACAATTCTCAAGTTTAAACGCTCTCTAACCAGTTCTATCTAGTATTAGAATTTTTTTTTAGATAAATTAATTGATAATTTTAGATGCGTACAACAATACTATAAGATTTAAAATTTTTTATAAAAATTATATATAAATTTTAGAAAATTAAAAATATGTTTTATATATTTATATCAACATAAATTATAATCACTACATGAAAATAAAAATTTAGTAACTGTTTTTTAACGATTTTTTTAAATAAACGTATAAAATTTCGTGTTTTTATAAGATTAACGACGTTTTTCTATACAACGTTATTAAATTTTTATATAACAGTATTTGGATTTAAAAACATTATTAAAATATATTTTTATAGCGTTTGTTGACCTAAATGCCGCTATATACTTTAATTTTTTATAATTTTAGATGCGTACAACAATATTATAAGATTTAAAATTTTTTATAAAAATTATATATAAATTTTAAAAAATTAAAAAATGTTTTATATACTTATATCGACGTAAATTATAATCATTACATGAAAATGGAGATTTAGTGATTGTTTTTTGGTGACATTTTTAAATAAACGCTACAAAGTTTCATGTTTTTATAAGATTAGCAACATTTTTTTTATAAAACACTATTAATCTTTATATAGTGGCATTTGGATTTAAAAACACTACTAAAAATATATTTTTGTGGCTTTTGTTGTCCTAAACGCCTTATATACTTTGACTTTTAATTGAAGGAGATTATTCAAGACATTTTTTTACCATAAACGCATTGAATAACCATATTCAATTTTTTGTAAGGGATTATTTAAGACATTTTCTGACAAAAAATACTTTGAATAATCTCAAAAAAAAAAATAGACGAGATTATTGAAGTCGTTTTTGGCCAAAAACGCTTTAAATAACCCTATTCAATTTTTTTTGTAAAGGATTATTTAAGACGTTTTTTGGCAGAAAATCCCTTGAATAATTCCAAAAAAATGAAAGGAAATTATTCATGGAAGGAGATTATTCAAGATGTTTTTGATCAAAAATGTCTTGAATAATCCAAAAAAAAATGGGAATAGATTATTGAAAGCATTTTTGGCAGTAAACGTCTTGAATTATCCCAAAAAAATGGAAAGGAATTATTCAAAGCGTTTTTTGGCAGAAATGCCTTGAATAACCCAATTTAATTTTTTGTAAAAGATTATTCAAGGCATTTTCTAGCCAAAAACACCTTGAATAATCTCAAAATTAGAGGGGATTATTCAATACATTTTTAAAAATTAGAGTAGATTGTTTAAGACATTTTTGCTAGAAACATCTTGACTAATCCCATTCTATTTTTTAAGAGATTATTCAAGACGTTTTTTGGCTAAAAACACATCGAATAATCCCTTAAAAAATTTGAAGGAGATTATTGAAGGTGTTTTGGGTCAAAAACGCCTTGAATAATTCCTTCTAATTTTTAATTGAAAGGGATTATTAAAGGTGTTTTTGGCCAAAACCACATTCAATAATCAAACTTTCCCGTTGCTAAATTTTTATTAAATTTCAAACCTACAAAACTCCTTTCTGCTTTTCTTTCCCCTACTTATTTCTTCCATTTTTACTCATTTTTTATCGTTTTCTTCTCATTTTCTATATAAGTTTCAGTTATTTGATGGTCAATTTTTATCTTTTTTTCTTTTCGTTTTTGTAAATTTCAAGTTAGCTTTCTTACATTTTGGGTCAAATCCCTAAACTTCTTGTCTGATTTGTTGAGTCAAATTCTTAAACTTTTTATCTAATTTATTGTGTTTCCACTATCGTTTAAGCTCCATTGGTAAGTTTCATTTCAACATTGACAATTTTTAGTGTTTGGCCGTTCTTTTTCTTTTTTTTATCAATTTATTTTGTTATTGCAATTTTGAGTTTGGTTTTGTTTAGTTTGTGAGAAAAATTCAAGATAAAACAGAAAGTGAAAGAAATAGGATTTTTTATGAGAAAACTTGAAATTGCACGTTGAATTTAGTTATAAACATGAATGAAATTTTAGATTTAGTTTTTTTTTTCAACAAAATATTTTTGAAATTACTAAAAAATTATTACTTGTTAACATGAATTTGTGGATTCATTCAAGATATCCTTAGAAAACCATTTTAAAATAGTTTATTATGTTTTTTTTATCTCATTTTGACTTTTTTTTTTTTTTTAGATTATAGTGTTTGATGAAAGGACTTAATCTTGCTTGAAAAGATTTGTTGTGCATGAAAACCATCAACATCAAAAGATAGAGAACCAAAAAAATACATTTATAATTATTTGTGAATACTGTGAGGTATAGTATTTATCACATACTTAATCTTTCTCTGTTACACTATAGGTTTCTAAATGTATGAATATTCGATTAAATTTTGTATAAATTTTTTGTTGATGTTATCTCTGTTCTTTTTAGATTTTTGGTTAATATACTAAAATAATTTAAATGTTTTTGTATGTATTAAACTTTGTGTTCCATCCATATTGAAACAAATTATGTATTTATAATAATCAGTTTATGAATTAAATTTTTTTTTTATTTCTTTAAATATTTTTTATTTAATGATAATAATCAATATTAAAAAAATTAAAAAAATAAATTTCTTAATTTTACGATATTTGTGCCTAAAAACACTACTAAATACCAAAATGTAACAGCACTTTTTACTATAAACGCTGCTAAATTTAATAGTATTTTCTACTATAAATGCTGCAAGTTAATGGCGTTTTTCTAAAAATACCGTTATTTTTTTTATGCAAGTATAAGTGGTACTTTTAACAACATTTTTGGTAAACGCCCTTAATATTTTAATGGTGTTTATAAAAGTCGCTAAACGTGAAAAAAATATTACTAAAAACCCAATTCCCTATAATGAATATAATAATTTTTATATTTTACATATATTTAATACAAAATAAATACAATATTAATATATAAATCATAAAATCTAATTATAATATGATAAACATATAATTTAATTTTGTGAAATTTTCCTTTTATTAAAATTAAAATAAGTTACCGATAAAATTTTTGTCAATAAAATATTTAAAATTTTGAATCAAATTAATATAATTAAAAAATACATTTTTAAAATTGTCAAAAAATATTATTACGCCCAAAAATATGAGGAAATAGGGGTTGGTAGGGGAAATAGGGAGTTCAAATGTTTTGTAGGGATTCTAGTTCTAATAGATCTAAGATCTTTATTAGTTTATAACTATCATATCAACAAATTGTTGATTAGATGTGTAGATAAAGCATGTTGGCATTTACTTATTTCAAGTTACAAAGCTTAGTTTATCAAAATCTCCTCCATACAAGTCTTCTATGTTAATTGGGTCATTGAGATCCAAAAGCAAGTTAATTCCTTTTAAAGACAATAATTGAGAGATAAAACAAGAGTGAAAGATCCCATTTGGGCGCGCTCCAGGGAGAGCGTGACTCAGCGGTGGACCATCGGCGAATCAGGAAAGCTAGGCGTGGGTGCGGGCGTGGCAAAAGACCTCGCTTTTTGCAGCCCCAAATATTAGAGGCGGTTGCCACATTATGAGCGGCGTGGCTGCGCGTGAAGGAGAATTGGGATGACTCGTTTCTTTAGGGCCCTTTTTTTGTGAGTTACAAAGCCAAAGATTTCCAAAAAGAAGGATCCAATTTGCCTAAAGCAAAGCTTTTGAAAAAGAAAAATGAGAAGCAAAGCCTTTTCCTTGACATAGATAAGGCCAAATAAAGACCCTTTTTTTCTTATGACAAAAAAAAAATTTGTTTTGTTTCTATTAATTGGATGATTTATATTTGATGCATTCTATCTCATATAAAAATTAATTTTAAATATATTTTTAAAATTAAAAATATTTACTTTTTTACATTTTAAAATTTTAAAACTTTAAATTAATCTCTTATAAAATATTATTCTATCGATAATATATCAAATATAAACTTTTAATTAAAGCATACCGTATGAGGAAAGAATTCCTTTCCTTTTACAGGTCACAGATTTGGTATATTGTCAAAGGAATCAAGGTGATTCAAGTGCATAATGAGAGGAAGTATTTGAGTTCATCATCAATAATCAAGTCAAGATGACAAGATTTCAACCAATGGTATGCATTTTTTTCTATGCATCTAAAATATTTGAGTCAATATTAAATGTTTGTATCTTAAATCTAGAAGACTTAATTATTTTAAACGAGAAATGTGTCATGGATTCATACAAATTACCGTTTCAAAATTGGTCACCTCCATCTTTATGGCATTATAAAACTTGAATTAATTTCTTCCATAAAGTATGACCCTACATTGAATTCATATTTATTTATAATTTTAATTATTAATTTAGAACTAGTCCATTAAGAATAATTTAGCACTTGTTTTCTTGTTTTTTTTTTTTTTTTCATGTATGTACATTGAATCAATAACCAAATTCGAAACCTTTAGACTTTATTAGTTTATTCTTTCAAATTGATAATCAAACCATATATTGCATGTGAAAAATAATTGAACATGTGATGCATGCTTTTTATGTATGCATTTTCTTTTCATTCTTTCAATCAGTCGCTCTCTATTTGTGAAGAAATTCACATGACAATGAAAATCAATGCAAATGTGAAACAATGAGTTTGAAATCATTTTCTAATTTATCCATTTCAGTTATTTTTTTTTTTCTATTTTTTTACCACTATCAAAATTTGGAATTAGTTAATTTTTGCGGATAAGATCTATATTTATCATTTTTATTTAGGGTGATAATCAACTTAATCACCCATTTTCAAACGAGTAAATTTTAACCACTATATTACTTAATTTGGTTTTAAAATGATAAAAATTAAATTTTTTTATTTTCTTGCAAAATGATATTTTATTATAAATTTTTATCTTTTGTCTATTGCTTACAATTTGTCTTTCTTAATCTCCTAAATGATGACCAAGAAAATATTTTTAAAAAATATTAAATTGGTTCATGCTGGATTAAGGACAACGATAGGTCGAGTCGGAATATGTTTTTACTCGCTCCAAACT